TTGAGTGAAAAATGGATTCACTCCAATGAATACTCATAACACAGAAGTGGATAAGTGTGAAGAAGACACAGTACTCCTTGCTACCTCCATGCTTCCTTCACTCGTTATCCTTATCCATGTATATATGTATGGATATTATCTGTCTATGCATATCTGTCAATGAGTGCAAGCGAACAGTGCAAATAATTATTAATAATAATAACGTTAACAGAAATACTGTTGTTCAGGAGAGGCAAATAGTTGCCACTAAAACCTCTTTTAATTTACAACAAATCTTTTTCAATTCCTTCAACCTCCCGTTCCATCTGATACCCACTCTTTTGCTGGGCGGAGACTTAGAGGGCTTTGACAAGTGACGTCTCCATTATATAATCACATACCGAACTACCACCTCCGAACCCATATCGTTAAGCTTTTTATTTTTTTCAAGAATTTCAGTTAAAATTTTGTTGAACTGACAGGACAGATAACAAATGCATGTATACATACATAAACAGTAAAGATAACAGTATATAAAATCCAGAATACTGATCACTGGGACCAGAAAAGATTTCTCTGGTCGTCGCCGCGAACCGTTCATGTGGAAAGTGATTGTTCATCCACAAAAAAGTCACTTACTCCGTCATTTTTGGGTGCTCAGTTATGAGAACTCATGAGTAATATTATATCTATTTCTTTCGTATACTACGCAGTTGACAAAAATATTATGCTTAAGTATTGGATTGAAAAGTTTAATCCAAACTTATCATCACTTTTTTCAAATAAAGTTTCTCATTTTGGATAGAACCATTATACCAATTGTTTAATTAAATTATGTGAAAATTTCTTCAAATAACTAAACAGTTACTGTAAGATTGATACATTAACATGTATTAGAAAGAATAAAAGAAGAATTGATGCAGAATTTTCATGGTAATAGTTTTTTCTTGTAGCTACAACATAAATTTGTTATTTCCATATGTTGCAAGAGTTCAGGAAAAAATGATCATATACATAAGAAATTGTTCAAGAAAAAGTTAAAATAGCCTTCTTACTGAAAATAGGTGTTTTACCATGAAAACTACTTAATCTGAAAATAATGTTGATATTATTAAACATGTACACGGTAAATAAAAAATAAATAAATAAATAAATATATATATATATAATGTCATGTATATATTTAATATTACCTCCATCCATTATTTAACGGAATATTTATTAAATAAATGTGAGCACATAAAATATCACATCTTAAAAAAGTGACTCCATTTCCTACAGTTATCCTATTTGATTCTAAACAGCTGAGCTACCACATCAAAGAAAATTCTTGTATCCACAATTTTCTGGACTTTAAGATAGTTCTATGGTTAGAGCTCGGAATGTAGAAAAGTAACTCTAACAGGACACAACAAAACAAGGTTGCTCCCGCATTCGAAAGGACGATTCATTGACGGAGTAAGACATTAATTGTCGTTTCGGGATTATATTTGATCGTAGAAGCGTGTAAGCACGAACAATGCTGATGTACGCAGAAACGATCATCAGCCTTCAACAAATTGTCTTCTTCCATCTATATTTTTATATCTCCCCTCAACAATACTTTAATGAGCTTCGCTTAATCAGCTTGCAAGTCTATCATCACCTATTATTATCCATTCTCAATTTTTTTTTAATTAGCATTTTATTGATTCAAATTTAAAATATATATCCATTCATCAATTATCTATTTATAATTATTCATTCAATTTTTTGATTTAAAATCGTGGACAAACTTTTGTAAAAATTTATGAATTAATCCGACAAACATGAAAACTAAAGCAATTGCAAAAGTTAGAAATCAAATCACGTATTTTTTAGTTAATTAAGATGAAATCTTTTGCAAAAATTTTGTATGCAAAAGACATCAGCTTGTGTGGTTTTATCATGCGGAAATATTTGCCGTCAAGTATCTAACACATGATTGGAGTTCATCTAAAACTGATGCTTTTTAATCCTAAGTTTTAATTAAATTTCAACTCATATGTTAATTAGTAATTCATTGACCATCTTCCAAATGATATGCGTTTAATTTCGAAGAACATTGGAACCAGTAAAAGATATTTTGCTTATTTTAATTATAGATTTCAATCATAAACATCAGGCAATTTTTCATTTTCGATTTAGTAATCTAACACACATTTATGAGTGTTTTTACAGGCACGCCTTGTATACACAAATCAGAGAAGCAGAGCGAGTACTACTGGCACTATCTGGAAGTACCGCAGTTGGAAAAGAAGGAAATGAAATCAATTATCTTTAGCAGTCCAGAAATGCAATGGTTGCAAAGGGCCGAAGGTTACGGTAGGTGAAAATCATCTGATTTCTGTCTTTTGTCGTTCGGTGGCCAAGGCAATCATTGCATTTTCTTTGCATTTGCCATTGCATTTCATTGCATTTGCCAAGGAGTGACAAAGAGGTTATTAATGCAACCTTAGAAGAAGGAACTGAGCAGAGGGAGTACTTTAAAGGAAGTCAATTAGTGGCTGGCTGGTTAAAGCAATCCTTATTTGTGGTCGAATGTTCCGGTTTGATTTTCCTGTTCTCTGCCATTACATCCCAATCATCATAATCCTGTTTGTATAATTTATGCTTCAGTACACAATTCATGTTATTATATACTGTACTGTTCATGAACAGATTATTCATGTACACGCGTTTACTATTTCCATTATTTGCTTTAACGGATTTACAATCAAATTACTCTGAACAACAGCTTCAATGAAAACTGTTGAAACTATTTTCTTATTTTTTCATTAATCAAAATATTAATCTTTTTAATCCTTCATTAATCTGCAGCAGTATTTTATATTTGGCTAAATTTGCATTCAAATAATTCCAAAATTTTGCTATTAAAAATATTTAGATTTATAACTTGATATAGGCTTCACTTTGATTACAAGATAACACGAGTTGAATATCAGTATCACGTGAAGCATAGCAATAGGAAATTTATAGTATTCATAAATCTGTTAAGTAAAAATTACTCTCCAATTTTCCGAACTTATCATGAACTTGAATATACATCCACCAGTTAAAAATTACAAATTCGCAAGATTACCATAGAAAGTAGAAATGATGAGGTTATCTAAAAACTTCGTTTATAACAATATGTATTTTTGATCGCCGGATTGCCAAATAGAAAATTCAAATTTATTAAAATTGTGGCTTGTTTTTTGCTTTAAGGCTGTGATTGAAGAATAAATTTTCGTCTTGGTCTTAAAATCTAATGTTCTGCCAACAAGAATAAGCATGAACGAGTGTCTGTCAAAAAATAAACTTGGCTGTTACAATTTTTATAAGCAGTTTTTCAGAATAAATTAAAAATTTTGTATTTCTTTCAAACCTGCTTCGTACGGGAAGAGGAGGATCGGAGGAATAAAAACCAAAACGAAAGATTGGTTAAGGAACAAAATATCACAAAAGGAATGGCAATCAATTCTAAATGAATTTAACCGGTATTTCTTGAAATATTTTATAGAATAACTGTAACTGTCAGATTTTGATTCGTTCTTTACCGTTACCAGCAACATTGTGAGATCTCAGTGAAGACTTGGAGAAGAAATTCATCTTTCCAGTATTGGAAAACTGGAATATATGGAAGGCTGTCGTCGGGAATGGAGCTCATGGCATGTTGGGAATAGCATTATTATTCCAGCACATCTCATACGCACTACAGTATCCTTGAAAAGTGTCACAATAAAAAATGAGATACACGATGAAAAATAGGCTCACAGAAAAAATTCATATTCACGCAATGGCCAATTTAATGCTTCGATGAATCCTTTACAAACTATTTGATGCTCACGCAAAAAGGAATTGCAGTGCTGATTATTTTGAAAATCGTAACTGCCCTCCACCTACGCATTCCCTCCTTTCCAAAAAACAGTCAAGACAGATGCTTCCGTCTTGCTAAGCTATTAACATTGAAAAATAAAGTTCGTGAAGGTAGAAAACATAAAAGGAAGATAAGGAATTTCTGCTCCTTTTTGTTTACGTCTGATGTAGGAATTCATTTTTTAGCAAAATCTGGATGTTTTTTGTAAGCTAACATTTACAAGCAAGCGAATAATTAAATTAGCATCTTTTCCCAATCTCTGTCATAACAACGTTCATAATAAAGCTAAATAATTTTAAAGCCTAATAAATATTATTTTCATTTTTGCTTTTTGTTTTGTAAAAGGTTTAATATTACAAAATAAGATGAATTTGTTGACAGGTATTGGACTACTCATTTTAGTAATTTTAAAGTTAGTATAGTTTGATCAATATCGGAATCAAAATGTTGCTTTTATATTTTATAAAATATGATATATATATGACAAAAAATCATACATATTTTATAAAATATATATGTGTATGTATGATTTTTGTAAATCCAGTGATCCATTATGAAACTGCCATATAAAGTTCTTTATACGGAAATTTAATACAGATAATGCTCGAAGAAATAATGATGCTGATTGGGTCAGTGGATGTTACTGAAGATCAAGTAACTTCAGATATGTTGCACATCAATTCTTCGTAAATCAGCTGCCACCAAATTCCTGAATAAATATTGTTAAATATTATAATTTTTGTAAATTTTTAGCATAAGAAACAAAAGACAAAAACAAGAAAAGATAGTAGCAAGAAAAAGAAAAAACGAGACCTACAGAATGTATTTAAAAAAAGTTCTTGTGGCTGTCTTCCTGTAAATGCATAAACAAAAATGAAGAATTCAATTATAAATTTTATGAAATGTTAATGGTTGAAATAACGAAGTTACTGCAATTATCAAAGTTACTCAGAGCATCAGTGCAGTATTTCCGACATTACTGAAACGCACTAACACGCTGAGCAGAGTTCTGCCTATCTTTAAGGAGCTATCTGCCATCAATCTTTGAGTGCTACCTACACTGATATCTGCCCTTTCAAAATGATAAAATTGAATAATTGGCTACCAAAAAAAAACGCTGAAATTATACATGAAAAATTTTCACCTATTCCATGTCATCAGTTTTTCTCATAAACCCGTCAAATTTGACCTCACATTTCATATCCTCAATATGCTCCTCACCATCTTTTTTCGCGTTAGACTTAAAAAGTAACTAAGCATAAAGTACTATAAAAAAGTGAATAAAAAATACAATACAACAGAGATGGAAGATGTTCTGGTGTCAAAATGGCGAATTGAGCAATGCCTAGCTATGTTTTATCATTATTACATTAATCAACGAAACATAAGACAGTCGTCTACTTTGTAGTTGAGGTTTTAAAGGTTTTGTGAATTTGGTTAAGTGCTCTTTGGTCAATCTGGATAAATACAATAGGACTCAAGTTTCTGAGCAACAATATAATGATAATTATTTCATTAAACTCATTCCGTGGTGCTTCTGTTATTCTCATAATGACGATATAATTTTTTTTTTCAAACCTTCTTACAATCTGCCGGATTATCAGTATCGCTATCTGACATGAGTAACTCTCGTATCATCTCCAGTCCCAGAAGACAAATTTGTAATAGACGCTTGTTATTAAGCATCAGTTCCAAGGCCTGAAATTATAAAACAACTTCTATTGCAAGAAGTACATTATTTTCCGATTGTTCTTTCTTTTTCGGTTTTCTCTTATTTCTGTAGGTTTCTACTGTAAATAGTTCATCGCTTTCAATGATGTTAGTAAAGAAATAAGATTTACTCGACGAGCATAATACGAGTCAATTTCTTCAATGGATCGGTGAAGGAAAAATGTTCGGCCTTGACGCTTCTTTGCTTCCCTCAGCAAATCTTCTAGTTGTTTCAGATTTGGTTTTTCTTGTTCAATCTCCTCGTTTAGTTTTTTAATGTTCGAGGGTCCACTGTTTACATTCTATGAATTAATATTAGTTATGTAATTTTTGGAAACATTAATAATATGGGTATAGAGATTTTTATACTATAAAGATCTTTATTTGACTCAAAATCTATGAGATAAACGTCAACTATTGGAAGGCAAATAGACATGTAAGAAACTGAATTGATCCCAGCTGTGGTTTTGCACATATTGGCATGCAAATTATGAGTTGGAATCGGTTGTGGGAAACATTCATACTATTTGAGAAGAAAAGTCCATTGCAACTCCAGCATCTTTCATCGAACGAATGTTCACAAGAATACGTTCGATTTTTTCTTTTGGATATTCTTTTTCGCATTGAATTTGCAAGGCACGGATTCGTTCACCGCAATGCTTGATCGCATATGTCAAAGGATTCAGCTGTTGTTCAAGCTCATGCTTTTTGGCGTTTGCGGTGATCAAGTTGTCGTATTTACCGAATTGCTAAAAATTGTTTTTGTGTGGGAAGAGTAATTACAAACAATGCAAAGAAAATATTTGTGTATACAAAAAGCGCGATTCTCAGCTTCACTTTGTTGTCAGCAGTGAAATTAAAAATGCTCTGAATAAGTTAAGCTTATACCATTTGCTTTTCAATCGCTTTGCTCAGTCTCATTTGCATTCCATTTTTCTTTTTAATTAACTCAGTGCCATACTCGGTAAGCTTCTGGCACTCGATGAGTGCCTTTGATTTATAATAAACAATACCCGCCAATTCATCCTAAATGTTTTCATTTTATCATTATTTTTTACAAATATAATTGAAAAATTCTAATAATGATCTATTATTTTATTTAATTTACTCAGGAAAGATTATTTACAATCATTTTTTTGCATTCTAATGGTGACAATTGTGCGGGAGCATTTCCTTGAGTAGGAGCATCCAACTTCTCCAAATGATTTTCGTCCATTAATTTTGCCTCCTAAACGAGCGGTCGTTCGTTTTTATGTCATCATTGTGAGTTTCATTATCATATTAATTAAAATTTTAGCCCAACCAGACAAAAGTCAGTTTTTTGATAGTAAAATCACAACGACCATTCAAAATTCTCTTAACATGAGAAGTAGTTCCAGAAATAACTCATCCTACCATTCACCAAATCGTCATCTAGTTAAGAGTGATTCCTCAAACTATCTTGTTTGAAACCATAAACTGATAAATGTATTATAAAGTTTCTTCGTGTATTCAGCGCTGTGCTGTGCTTCGATGCTACTCAATCTTAACTTATAAAAACTTCTTATGCTTCATATCACGTAGCATAAGCTTATATGTACATTGTCTGATAGCAAAAAAACGTAATATATTTGATTTCAGTCTTATAACCATATTTTAAAGTTCAACACATTGAATCACAGTACTAATGAAAGATTATTCTCAATTTCTTTCATTTTTTTAATGATTATTCGATTTTTACAAAAAATATTGTGAACTTCAATTTAAAAAACTGACGTGAGTGTCGTTAGTATTTGACTTTTTGATCCCTTCTTCGTTTTCCATGTCTATCTACAATTTTCTTTTTGCTTAACTCTATTTGAGAAGTATTGTTGACATATCAAATATATGACTATTAACTGCTCATCAAAATACAGAGTTGTATTTTAATAGTCACAAAGACATCATGCATTCGAAAAAGCGCAACCCGAAAACCAATCCACTTCCAAAATTAGAAACCAACCGAAGAAGCCTCGCAACCAGATCGCTGTAACGATTAATACTAACATTTACAATATTTTGGTCTTTATATACATTTTTTTAGTCCTCAGTAACATTATGCAAATTGTTTTCTTCGATTTAAGCGATCATTTTTAATAAGCATTACAGTAGAATGAATGAATTTAAATTATTTAATACTATGCAGCTTAAAACTGAAAACATGACTGCAGCACAATTTTGATGTTCAAATGCAGGTGTTAAAGCGAACAATTATGAAAGAGTTTGATGCTTGCGGAGCAAAATGTTTGGAAAGCTTTAAGTGCAAAAAGTTTCCGATAGTTTCAAGATATTTTGACAATATGCATTGATTCGCTTTGTTAGCAGGCACGCATATCGCAATAAGTCCAGTAGTATTGCCAAGTGCTCTCTTATCACATAGCCTTGTGGAACACCTGAAATGATGGACTATTATTGAATTCATTTCTATACTTGTATATCGAACAATACTAGCTGCAAAATGGAATTGCCTATTTATTGCACAATACCATACGATCTGTTAATTTTTATGAAGAAATATCATTATCAGCATAGTTTCATCAAAATTTCCAGAAGTCTTTCTCTCATTATATTAAATAGATTGTGTTTTGGCTATTCTTATTCATCTTATCACAGTGAGTCTCTTCGATTCATTCAAGAAATTTCAAGTCCATTATTTCTCTTTAATTTTCTTCACTTATCGTTTTATTTATTAATAAGAAAATAGAGTAACATTTTTAAAAATGTCATTTTATCTTTTCTTCCCTGTGCTCTTCATACTTTTCCATTTTGCTAAGAACCAAACGACTATAAATGTCAAATTTTTGTTTGTTTTATGCAATTATTCTCCTTTAAGGATCTACTATCACTACACCTCTGCATCCTTCTTGCCTACATTTTATGATTGATGCGCATTCCTCTCATTGCCACCTACCTACCATTGACCGTTCTCATCTGATTTCTTAACTGGTTGAATTTAGAAATATCGTGAAATACTTTTTGTACCACAGTGATCTGAATATGTCGATATAAACTCGCAAAAAATTTTTCGAAAGAAGTTGAAGGTTTAACCATAAAGGCAAAAATGAAATTACTGTTGATCTATTCGCATTATTGTCATTTTCGCTAACTTCCGCTAAATTCATATTGTCAATGAAATTCTTGCAAATACATCTTTCCAAATCTTAGTTTCAAAGTATCGACCGGTAAATGTTAGATTGGCATTGTTGGCTCATTAAATATTACTACTTATTAATCACATCAGAAAATTTTCGGGTATACAATTCCACTAATCTTTTTTTGTTTTATATGAGAAAGGTCCTGAAATTTTTTGAAAACTGTTGGAAAAGAACTTCATATAAGTTCATTTGTACATTGTTATCTTATTCCGCTAGAAAATTTTGTGTATGTGAGCCAAAATTTTTGAAGTGTTGATATTTTGAGACATGGTTGAATACCTGTCTCTATTAGTAATCCCTTAACCAACTTTTTCGTTAGTAGGTTGTCTTTTTACTTTTTCAATATTCATAGGTTTTCTTATGACAGTACTAAGTCTCTGGTATTATTGCACGATTTTTTTTTAAAGAAAATCATTTTATTTTATTACAAAGGCGAAAATTTTGAAGATAAAAACAAAACCAAAAGAACGCTTTTTCCTCTCAAAAATTGTTACATTAGTGATGATGCACAAAACTGTTGTTTAAATATATATGTGAGAAAACATATTATATTTTATCCAACTTCTAATTTATCCGAGGAGGTCCGATTCTATATGAGTTTGTACGTATTTCTAAATTTTACGAGTAAGTAGGTGTGCATTCATATAAATTGGATTGTGTTTATGCCTATGTTTATGCTTATGTTTGTATATTTATGCTTATGTTAAATATTCTATATGTTATGCAATCGATACTTCAAATTCTTTAATAAATTGAAAGATAAACACTACTAGTTATAAATGGTTGATAATAAAGATTTTGTAATTAGAACATTACTTTTATTATTTGTTGAATTTTAACACAATATGTTTTCGAAATTTTTTCGAAGGTGACCATTCAGCATTAGGATCTGCAATAACACTGATCACAGAACCTTCTACTTTTGTAGTGAAAACAACATTCATAAGAGAGCAATCGGTACCGCTATCCATATTTAATTGATAATCAATTCTTAAATCAGTATTATGTGTCTCCAATTTCCAGTAAACTATTAAAATAAGTTATTCAACATGTCTTTTGAAAAACAGAAAGTTGAATATAACCAATTCTAAAACGAATATTACTTATGATATTTCGGTTCATAATAAATTGAAGATTATATACTGGTTCACAATACAGGTAAATGGAATTCAAATTTTTTAAATAAAAAAGAGTGCAATACGTGTCTGCAAGACAGAAAGCATAGTGGGAAAACTATCAGTTTACCCTGCGTGATTCGTTTGTATTTTAATTTTAAAATATTTTTCTTCGGAAAACTAATTCATTTAACCTTTCCTATTACAAGTTATAAGAAATAGTGAACGTTATGCTGCGAATTCATGTGCCAGTAAATTTTAAATATTTAAAATTTAGAAACATTTATCTCAATAACTTGAATGTGTATATAACTATTCAATTGAGATCAAGAATCGAAATTCGAAATAAAGTTTGCCTGTAAATTAACCCATAAAATCACTGGAATAAATATTTCAAGCCTCACATTTTGTTTAATGTTTTACTTTCCTGATGGAAACCAGTTTTAACCGTATTGGTTGAATACATCTTACGGCTACAATAATCCGAGGTTTTTACAGCAGTATTTATTTCAAAAAAATTCTTATATCGCTTGAAAGTATTATTTTTATAGAATTAGAGCAACATGCAAAAAATTTCCATATCCTGTGATTCAGTTGATTATTGATCTCCTGAGAAATTATTGATATGATATGGAACTGCTCCGAATTATTTAACCCACTTTTTTTAATTTTCAGAACAAAAAATTTATTATTTTCATAATTTTTTCCGTCCTTTATGACCAACGCTAATTTTTGGTAACTCATTGCAAAATTTACAAATTAGTATTAAATTAATTTCATGATAGAAGATATTGAGAGTAAAATTTTATCTGATGAACTTCACTGATCTTAAGATTTATTTATTTGTCCTTTCAACAGCTGTTCTGTAAATATTTTGGATATTTTTTAAAGGAGCAATTGAAATAAAAAAAAAAGGCTATAGTTCTCAACATGTGCTTTCGACAACAAAGCTTTTCAACAATACAAAATTCAAATAATTTTATGCGTATGAAAATAGGCAGATAAAGAAAGAGAGATAAATCGAGGAGATTTTTTTGCACGCACAAAATCAGGTTTGTCACTAGCAGATCAAATGAATAATTTCAAACGTTGTGAGGAAATTTGAAGAGGAGAAATTAGTTATTCGCTAAGGAAATATCATTGTTGAGCGAGAGAACCGAATGATTTAATGCCATATGATAGAATACAGTGAATTTTAGATGGGGTTTTAAATTACCAGAATGGACTTATTCAATTGTTAATAACAAGTTTCAGTACTTTGTTGAGATGATTTTGAATTGCTGAACGATTCTTGCCATGATTGATTATTAAAATCGGCTATAATACTGGTCAAATATATAATTGTTCTCAATACTGAACCAAAGACGGATTCAAAATTCGAAAGCGCTTAATTGCCTTGATTATCATAAAATGATTTTTATGATTAGTTCTTAAGGAACAAACTATCAATAAGAATTTAATAGGATTATAAGTAAAATTTAATTACTTGGAATTTGGATATCAGGACCTGTAATCCCCAATCAGTTTCAAAAGGTGAAATCTTGTGAAACATTCTTATTGCTTATTGAAGAAATACAACTTACTATTGGTTCTCTGCGGGAAGCTTTAATCTTATTACATGCATTTCCTCCTGAAAAATCTCATGAGATCAAGGGGAAGCGATTGTGGAATGAAAGGAAACTGCTTGGAACAACAACTTCACAAATGACAGTTGTTATTCAAAGTATTTTCCTTCACCTATTCATCCATTTGTTCATCCTGAGAAAGCTCCACTTACATTTTCTCCGCTTATATTTTCGTATTTCGTTTTACTTTGCTTTCACTGTGCATATTTTCAGAATATTTTCATTTTTGCATTATACGGGCTTTTTTAAGAATTTCAAAAATTCTAATGAATTGGTCTAGAGAAGTGAAATAACATATTGACAAAAACATATACTTCTTTTGAAATCTTTCAGAAGTACTTCCGAGAATTTATTTTCTATCCAGTAAGAATGAAAAGCTTTACTCATACAATATGAGGCACCAATTTTGAAATTAATATTGGAAAAAAATTATTGCATGCATTTAATAGAAATGGAAATCTCAATTTTTATTCCAAGCGATTATAACTTATTCTTCTTAACTAAGAGATATTGACAATGCTCAGAAAAATTAAGATCATCTTAATGTATTGAACTCACAAAGATGTATTCTTGGAAGTTGCTAATGATTTATAAGCTTAGATACAGATTTCTTGCAATTTTTCAAGTTTACTTAAGAGTTACTTTAAATTAATCTCTAATGCAATATATTTTGCAAAGAAATTTATTTTTAACATTTTAATTTTTTTCTTTAACTCCAATTTTTTTTGTTCTTTCTAGTGTATTTTTTAAATAAATACGCCGAATCAAATACAATTCATTATTTTCACTTCTCACTCTCACTCCTATAATCTTACTAACTTCGTTTTATAACTGATAAAGTTTCTCGATTTTTCCTTGCCCTACTTAATGGTATCCAAAGTGTTAGTAATTTTCATTCAATTTTGAAGTTTTGCTTTATTTGTTTGCAATTCAAGAATTATTCGCACTTGTTGAGTTTCTAAAATTAATTTAATTAAATATGTAAGTCAATCATTTTCGAGATGTTTTCATTTTCCTCTTTTCAAAAGTTATGCATTCCTGATAAACTTCTCTGATATTTTTTTTCATTAACATAGGATTGCTGCTTTACTTAAAGGCTATCATACAGATAAAGCATACCGAAATGATTTTTTAATTCAAAATAAATTTAAATGAGTAATATATCTTATCATTGACTTAGCTATCTCTTTCATCCTGTTAAAAGGTCCCTCATAAAAGTTTCAGTAGCTTCCGGCGACTTAAAACTAATCAACATCTCCCTTCTTTGCACCACCATCATTTAATTCATTTCTTGGGCATTCTCAATCCCACATTTTATAAATCTCTCTATTTCGTTCTGCTTCAATAACATTTCTTGCATGCAGTATACCAAGACTATTTATCCATCTTAATGTTCCTTTTTTATATTAAATCTGATTTTTGCTTAGTTGTAATTTGTAAAAATTTTTCAGTTTCATAATTATCAAAAAGCTCTTCAAAGTTTTTCAATTATTTATGCTTCACAATTGATTTGTTTTGATTTTTGTCAAATGAGCCCTTTGCGCTTTTTATCATTGTCATCTTGAAGGAAAAAAGAGTGAGATGGTATGTTATCATCTAGCCAGCATTGTACGAAATGGAAATTATATTAAAGGAAGGAGACCAAAATTTTGTATAACAGTGATTATTTTAGAGTTTCATATCAAGATCAGTTCTGAACACTATCAAATTGTAAATGAGCGGAATAACCGTATTTATATAAATGATGTTAGTTTGTAATTTAATTCAACTGAGAAAGACGGTAAAAAAATATTAGTTACGAAAAGAATGAGGTTATGATTGCTAATTAATAAATAAACCTGATATAACCACATTAACTTGATCGTTGTTTGTGTGTGGCTCTCAGTCTTTCTGAATTTTGTTGATTCTGCTATCTTCTTTTAATTTTGCAATTTGAATTTGTTGAAATAAAAATTTAATTTTTACGAAAGCATATAGTTTGATATAACCATCAAATATTTTGCTGCAAATTTCTTAGAACCAATAAGTAAATGAAAAGATTATTACACAAACAAACTAATTTATTTTTAGCGACATCTTCTGCTTGTACATGCATGCCTCGATTTGATAGTTTTATAGATTTATCATGTTAATATCTGCATATGTAAATAAGAATTTGATCTTCTCAAAGAGAAGAACCAAATGTACTAATCCCCAACATCTCGTGTTTTGGAAGGCGCATAGGGGATGGTATAACATTTGTTAACAGTATAGAATGGTCCAGTGCTTTATTTTTAAGAATATCAAGTATTATATGGTACTTTTATTCATTCATGAAGTGCATTTTTTATATGTAATTTTAGCTCGATTGTTGCGCGATATAAAAATTGAAGTATCAATTGAAATTTCCTTACAACAATCTGAAGGTACCTAACTTTTTCCTCCGCAAACAACAGTAATACATTAACTTTTTAATAATGGATTTAAATATTTATGTAAACGATGGCTGCTAGGGCAACCATAAATAACTTTATGATATATGGTTTCAACAGCAGCAAATAGTAAGTATATGTTTACTGATGATTGCATGCAATAATCTAGAATCCTCATTATTTATTCTATTTTATATATTGATTTAATTTTATAGAGAAAGCTTCCATCAACATGCGGACTTATAGTGATTGGTTGGTGAGAGAATCAATAAAGTTAGGCGAGGATTTCGATTTGGAATGCTATGTGAAATTTTTTCAGTTTTGGAAAATCTGTGAAATTTTTTTCAGTTTTGGAAAAATGTTGTTCTTTTTATCATATTTGTGAATTTCAATTGCTTTAATTTCCACCACATCATTTTCTTTAAACCGGTATGTTTTTCTTTGTCTTTCTATGATCATAAATGCCTGGTAGATCATTTTTATGACGGTATTCATATTTAATGGCCGTTTAGGCCCACATTACAACAATATTCGTCATCTATGAGCTTATCAAATATATTTTGTTTATATAAATCAAAATTTCCTTTACTTTATGAGTTCAATAATTCAGTGGTGGAAAGTTTTTGCGAGTTAAATATACCACACATTGAAGGAAAAATGATGCCATTGTTGATATTCGAAAAAAACAGTTCACGAAGCAATTGGTCAGATATTAATTGTGATGAATTTGATGAAATTTATAACATTCAGGTTTGCAATATTTCAGAATGTCTGAAATCTAAAATCTGAAACGAGAAGTGAATAGGGAAGCACAATTAATGTTAAGATAGCTAAGACTTCAATACATTGTCCTTTATAATTGCAACTTCTTGCATTAATTTGTTTAAATTCATAATATTACTGGAAAAATAAAATAAATTGATGTTGAACAGATCTTGTTTATTTAAAAATTTCAATTTTTTTCGAAAGTTAGGCTTGAAATTGGGAACACGAGTAATTACTGTAATTAAGTTCATACGACACATTCAATGGAACCAGTAACTTCCTTTTTTTTCTTCCCCTCTAGCTTTAAAAATTTCGGATTTTCAAACTCTGCTTCAAACTGATTTATAACTTAAAAATTCAAGTTACAGATATAATTATATTTATTCATTCCCACAACAATTGCTTATTATTCATTTATTTTTGATCAAATTTCATGCAAATTTTAGAACAATTTGCTATGGCAGCATCGAGGTGAGAGCTATGTTTTATTGTTGTACGGCGTGGTGTGCATTTTTGGAACTTTAGCCAACTTAATCGTTCTCATTTTATTTTTACGAACTTCTCATATACGTAATTTACGCAACTACTTTATTGCAAATTTGGCTGTGTCAGATCTTTTACTATGTGTTGTCACCGCGCCTGTCACACTTTATCTTACGAGAAACATGTTTTGGCCATTTGGCAATTTCACTTGTCAAACGGTTCGTTTTTAACAGATTTCTGAAGGATAAAAATGAAAGAACTAAAGCAACTTTCAGGCCAAGGAAAATGGTAGTGTTTTTGAGAAATAATCGTAGTTGGAATCATTTTTCCTTTTGACTCATCGATCCTATACCGTACGTTTTCCCCTATGTAAACATCTATTTTAATGAACAAATGCAACTAATTTTTGTTTATTTCTAATGAATTTTTCTACTTGCTACAGTAAACATTTAACTCCTTATTATTTTACATCAAAATTTGAATATATTCATGAATTAATTCTTTCATTATTTTAGTTAGCTTCGGTACAAGCTGTAAATATGTTTGTATCGTGCATGACACTTGTGCTAATTGCTATGGATCGAGTCTTATTGACTTTGTGCCCTATTAAATGGCAAGTATCAATTCTCAGTAACATGACACGTGTTTATGTGTTAGAACGAGTTTTTAAAGTTATAAAATGAAATTGTTAGGAAAATTAAAATTAGCGTACATATTTATAGGAAGCTTGCTTCAACAGCTCCAATCATATGTTATTGTATCGTTTGGCTGATATCGCTTGTGATTTCAGCGCCTTACTTTTTTGCTGTTGCTGTTGAAGATGTGATGTTTGAACCGTGGAATCAACCCTACATTGATGTTGTGGTATGGTACAGAAGAAATTAATATATTCCCTTGTAGAAGTAACTAACTCTTAAAAAAATTATAGTTTTTGGTTAATGAACATAAGGTTTAATTAGCTTTATTCAGTGAGCTCGAAAATCTTGATACTATTGATAAGCTTCTTAACAAATAATTTTTTTTGGTAATTGTCGGGAACTGATTTATACTGCGACAAATTCCTTTCTAGTTTTTGTTTTCACTATGAAACCAGACAAGAATTTTGAAGTTATTCTGGGATCCAGGGAACTGTAAACAGTGAGAATGGAAAAAACCCATCTTCTTGTTTTACAACAATTTCTTTTGTGGATAGTAAAATTGATACGAGTAGATTGGAGCATTCTATTTCTTCAACGACTCAAAATGCAACTTCGAAGCGCTAATTTAAAATTGATGATACTTTTTAGCTTCGAATATGTGGACGGAAGCGACCGCAAACATGTATCGAAAAGGCCTGGCATCGATTGCCTTTTTCAAGGCGTACGTACACACTTTCAGTATTGGCCATCCAATATTTGCTTCCACTTACAGCTTTAGCATTTAGCTACTCACAAATTTGTTCCACTATCCATAAACGTGTGAAAGCGAGCACAACGATCGATCAGCAGCGTCGACAAGTTATGATTCAAAGAAATAGGTTAAATTCTTTTTCAGATAATTGCTTTCAAAAAGAAGTTGAAGAGCAGAGCAGTATTTTTCAAAGGAAATTATTTTAGCTCATTTCGCCATTTTAAACCCCATTCTTTTTATTTGTTTCAAATATGATATTTGCTGAGCGATAAAAAACAAAATAAAACAGTATTACTTGCTAGTTTCAATTAACTGCATGGATTCCACTTCTAAATTTCAAAATGACAAAAAATCATTTTGATGATGTTCAGTTAGGGCAGTTATTGAAATGAAATTTTTAGAAAAGCTTTACTGTTGCTATCACTATTAGTATTGATTTATGCAGTAGCATGGTTTCCAATGAATGCGTACAATGTCCTTAATGTCTTCGAAGTAATCGAATTCTCTCAATACAGGTATATTTTGTTTGTTAGAAATTATTCGCAGATATGATTCCTCATCTTACCTTCTGTGAAATCAACAATTCAAAGAAGTAAGCCCATTGCATGTAATTAAACAATGATCACACACCCTCACAATATCTTAAATCTATTTTCAGATATTTGTTTTGTCATTTAGTTGGAATGACATCTGCATGTATAAATCCCATTTTATATGCACTAATAAATGATAGTTTTGGAGCGGCTTTCATTTCTATTCTTCTACCAGTTATTCGTCCGTGTACAACATATACTACCATCTCGACAAACCAACAAAACACTTACACATTTTCCTTTAACGAACATAAATTACTCAGGCATCAAGAAGTGCATATATTAATTTAAATTAACCATCCAAATTAGAGATACTGTTAGCTTTTTTTACCAAAATTTTTTTTCTCCAGTTCCAAGTCATTTGATAATATTGAATGAGTAATTATGATGTTTGAAGGTTAAATTTAAATTTTAGACGAAAAAGTTAAATTTTAACGGGACGTTCTACTAGCAGCCGTCGTCTTGAATGGAACGAATAAAAATGTTCCAGCTCGTCTATTGATTAACAACAGTAACCGAAATTTCGATGTACAATTTTAACGTTTCTTTTGACACATTGTTTTATTACTGCTGACTTCACTATCACATTTCTGGTGTATATCAGTGAAATGATCGATGAGTTGTAGTGTTAAAGTTTAATCTAAATATCTTTCATATATAAAGAATGAAGACAGTTTTTGTGGATAAGTTTTTATCAATTTGGAATAAATCATTTCAAGTAGTAAAATGCACAAATAGATGCACGGCAGATACTTATACAATTTTCGTAAAATTCAGTAAACTGTTCATAAAACTGGATATCTTCAAGTAGAAATAAACTATTACAAAATTTTTTTCAAGTACTAAACTTTCAAATGAACAAGGGCATTCTGATGCTATAGAAATCTCCTCAATGAAAATTATTGCGGATTTTACTGAGTGACGATAGTATAGCTATACATTTGCCGGCGAAAATTTTTTGGATGAGACAATATGGAGGATGAGGACACGATGGACAATCCCAGAGTTAAATTCTTCATTGTACGCCCTTTCCGCTTTAAATTCCACGTCCCACTTTCATCCTCTAAATTCAGTCTCGCCATTTATTTTCTATTTTGTTTACTGATGTTCAATTGTGTGATTGCTTTATACCTAACCTGAATTCTTAATGAAAATAGTTTTTGTAAAATATCTAATAAAGCACTGAATGACATAACCAATATCTTGGAACAAACAAGCATTTCCAAAAAAATTTCTGTAATATTGCGCAACTAATGTTGATGTTGATAACATTGAGAGTGAGACTTCCTTAGCATTAAAATGATTGAACATGTAAAAATGCTCGTTGATGAAACAATCTGTTTCATCATTATTCTTCTTTTGATTTATTTTTGGTTGATATTCCCTGATTGGCTCACATTTTCTTATCCTTCCATACTTTTTTTTTGAATTTTTTATGTATTGCGTTTGGTACTAAAATTTTAATTCTATTTTATTTACATTCTTTAAAGTTCACATTTGAATGAAATCCATTTGTCGAAACATTTGCGAATAAATATTTACTTTAAAATTTATGGCAGCTAATTTCTCACTTATATTCTATACACATTTTCTTCTATGATAGGAGTTTTTTTATTGTAATGAAGAATATAAAGAAAAGTTAGACAATTCTTGAAATAGATGTTTAGCTAAAATATGATATCGAAAGATTCTTGTGACGCATTTTATTTTCCTAAAAGTATCAACTGTTATTCAGTCTTCTACCTATGCTTGCATGTGTTACTTTATCTTTTTGAGGGTAATGTTGTTAATGTTCTATCAATATTTAGAACTTGTCGCTATGATGATAAATATTAACTATTATTAGTTCAATTTAGCAAAGATAATTATATTTATTAAAATTTTCTTATTTTCTTAAAACTGCTATTCGCTATGAGTTCTTAAATACAAGTAGAAATCTATTACCTTTTAAGTCGCTCCTCCGGCAAAAGCCATTTTTCTTTAAAATGTTAATTATTATTCAATTTTGTTTGCTTTCTTTTTGAGAGAAATTCAAATAAAACTTAGTGTTTAAAACTTTTATGGCTTTTCATTCCATTTGAGAAAAAGAAGTATTATTGAGAAGGATTTGAAAAAATTTTACATTGTTGTCAATCAACAGACAAGAAAAAATTTGTACGCCGAAATACTAAAATCAATATGAAGAAAATTCATTAAAGAAATATAAGCAGGTAATATAAGTTTTTCTTGACATAAATGATTCCTGAAGAATAATTTTGGAACAATTTTGTTAGTTGCTAGACTAACTTATGAAGCTAAGCAATATTTAGTATAAAAAGTAATCATTAGTGTGAAACAGCCACTAGGCTTTCTTTCTCAATATAAAGTTTATGAAGCTATGTAACGCTTATCATAAAAATCAAGAATTCTTCTTACTGGGATTATTTTGCTCATTTGGTTTGCAAGGATGTGGTTGCTTCATTTGCTGCTTTTTCCTGCTGCTATCTTTTTAGTTTCATCAGGTTGATTTCCATTTGATTCAAAAGGGAATGGGTACGTTAAAAGAACTGAAACGCTTCATTGAAAATTTCAAGATATTATTTTAATTTATAATGGAAATACTTTTAAAGACTGTTGATGGGATGATCAAATCAGTGGTTTCATAAACGTCCAAATATTAAGGATTTATTTTATTACTAAATAATCCGCTTCTTATATTCAGCATATCCCACAATACATATGGACGGGAGCGATCCTGGAAATATCATTCCAGTAAAGTAAGTGTTCCCACAGTTCAAAAGAAACGGGAATTTTTCCTGGCAATCTCTGATACTCCTGCATTTTATTTTTGTTTGAAGAAAAACATAAATTATGATCGTAATTTCTCCATATTTACTCAGTGATGACAATTTCTAAGGATTACAAATATTTTTTGTATGAGAAAATTATTTCTAAAAATATTTTTTTTCTAAAAATTGTTTCTAAAAGAAAATGATTTCAAAAAATTATTTCTAAAAAATAATCATAAAAACGCCTAAAATTATTTTCAACCGCCACAGTTAATATCCAAGACCAACAAGTTTTTAAGAATTTTCCAATAATTCCTACTTGATGCTATATTTCGTTGAAGCTCAAATCCTTTTCGAAAGTTTGTCTGGAAACTAAAGTAGACTCAATTAATTACTCTCTGCTCCCTACTAAATAAAAATTAAGGTTGTTATGAGTGAAACGATTCATCAATAGATAGTGATCGGAAATGTAATATAGATTAAAAGATATGCACAAACAAGGAATACTTGAAAATGGAGAGAAGAGAACAGAAAATGGAGTTTTCAACAATTTCATGGTTGAAAGACAAATACCATTAGCGATTAGCTCTTCAATGCTACCCATATATAAGCGTACTGAATTCATGGGTTTGTTGATGCTATTGCTACTTGTTATCTGATTGGAACTGAACGAAGTTTAGTAGGAAGTTCACCTTAAAAATTGCTAATATAATGATACAAAAAAGGTCTACGGATTAAAAATTGAAAGAAACTACGTGTTATTACAGTCTTATCAGCGGGTGTTGTGGTCTATTGGATTCTGATGGTATTCATTGGAGCGATATTAATAATGTGCTGTATATGTACGAAATTCCGAGCAAACGAAGATGATGAGGATGAAATAACTCAAAAAAAAAAAGGGAAAAAATAGAACAGAAGAATAATAACACCTATTTTATATCCACCTTTTTCTCCATCTTCTCACATGTTCTTCTTCATCAAATACATATGCAGCAATAATGCATTTCATCTGTGTAATGCTATTCCTTAGTTTCGGTTTTTAATTGATGATTAAAATTTTGATGTCTTACGATTACTCCCAAAGATTTTCCAATAGTTTTCTTGAAATTTCAGAGTTCGAATTTCATAGCTATCTTTAGAAATATTAGTTTATTCTTACGCTTATAAAATAGTACAATTTTTGTGCCTCTGATATTCCTGCACTACACTTCTGATATTCCAAAAAAATTTTCGATGCAAGTACCTTTTAATTTCATATGAGCAAGTTTGTAAATTAGTTTGAAATAAACAGGAGTACATAATCATGAAAGATGGTAGCGGGAAAAATGATATCTGTATTACAATTTGGAAATAGTTAATAAATTTAACGTTCACTACGTTCTTTTTCTTGCATATACATATAGTTGCTCCAGTCGAAGTAATTTGAAGTGATAGATGTTATTGTTTTAGAAACAGTATCGTTGCTGAGAGTCTTCCTGTTGCGTATGCAGTACCCTGGAACATAAAACAAGACTTTTTAAAACATTTTCAACATTGCTAACATAAATTTATGCTACTGACTAAAGTACTTTGTATCTATGGTACTCTAAATTCGTTTCAAGTTGTCACAAATTTTTGAAAGTTGCTGTTGGAGAAGCAAAAAAAAATTTAGCGTTCCTTTAGAGCTACACTTCAAAACGTTCCCATTGCTATCAAGCATTTAGCAATATAAAGTGCCATGACATCAAAAACTGTGTACCTCTGCTTTGTTTTAACCCAAACTTTAAGTATCGAAATTTAGTAGGAAGTTTACTTCGATATTTCAAACACTGGAATAATAACGAAAAAATTACGGTCGAATAAATAATAAAGGCAAACAAACTGAAAAGTTTCAAAAATTGCAGTATTATCGAGTAGAACGAAAGATAAATACATAATAGTAATACTAAATCTAGCCGAATGTGATAAATGAGATGAACAAATAAATTTACTTCTAAAAAACACTTTTCTTTTGATCGATGGGATAATCTGGAGCAGGTATCAACATTCCCTGCATCTTTCTGAAGCAGAAAAAAACTTTTAATAAAATTCTTAGGAGTGATTTTTTTAAAGTGATGTAGTAAACAATTTACTTTGGAATTATCAAATATCTTTTGGGAAAATTGTAAGCTGATAAATTTAAGTCTCTATGTTAAGGATATTTAACTAAATAGATTTTAAAATTAAATTAAAATTAAATTGATAATTAATTAAAATTCAGCGTACTTGCTCTTTTGCGAACATAGTCTGTTTCGTTTATTGACTTCAAACATGTTTTCTTCAATAGAAAATTTTCTCTTGTTAGTCGATGCATTTTGCGCATAATTCTGGTGATAACTTTGTTCAACATCTAAATCGCATCTATTGGAGTATAACATTCCATGTGAATCAACGATTATTCCGCTTCCATTTCCTACAGCTTTGACCATACTTTCCTCCTCCCCAATTGGTATTTCGAGCATCTGATTATAAAATTTATTTGATGTTGTACAGAAGCGTAGTATTTCCATATGGAAACTTCTTCAAATTAATTTTACAAAAAGTTCAATTTTTCTTCGAATAGGATCATAGCTTGTTCCTGTCCAGTTTATGAAGAACTCCTGTGATTTAGAACTAAAATGGTGTTACCTGTGTTTCATAAAGCATATCATGAGAGCTTCCAGCTGGTGGATTTGGTAAAAATATGGTACCAAATTTTGGAATTTGATTAATATTAGGATATTCATGTTTTGAACGCTGCTCCATCCGACGCCGCGTGTAGCACAAACATATGGCACATATCCCAGTCAATGCTCCAATTGCTATCGTCACTGCTAGTACAATCATTGCTACAAGCATTATGATAAGAATTCTCAATATCCTTTTGGATATCAAATTCTTGAAAAATTATACTTTTCACAAAAGCGCAGGATAAATAACATTACTTGTTAGACTCGCAACCATTGCAAAATGAGAAGGCATAAAAAATTCAAGATAAAATACTAACCAACAGAAGCAGTTTTGAAATTTGTAAAAAACAGCACATTTTCGCCAAGCACATTTTTTAAGTTAATACGAATTTCACCAATAATAATTCGCGGTTTCAGTTTTGCAGTAACCGTTCTTATTGTTGTATTATCGAAAAGTTTGCTAGAAATACATAATGAATTCGCTGATTTTCGATGAATTATTAAGATTATACTCTCACCTGTACTCGTCAACTTTGCAGCTCTTTTTTGTTGCTGGATTTACAGCATACCAGAGCATATTGATGTGTTTCTGCTTCTTCATATTATTTTGGTTTTCTTCTACACTTTCCACAAGAAGCAACTTGCATGGATCAGTGAATTCTCCCAACACTGTTGCAATCTCCTAAAAGTAACTCAGAATATTTTATCACTTTTATTTCATAATCCATGGATTTTGAAGAAATTTAGGTATCATGTTAATGATATTTAAGAATTAATATTTACCAACATTATAGCAAAGTTACAGCAAAGTTAGTTAGGAGAAGAAAATGTAAAATTTTTATTTTCTGATATTATAAACAGATTGAAATTAGTTTCACCTTTTCAGCAGCTTTGAGGTGGTATAGTTCAGTATTAAAAACTGATAGAATGAATCGGTTTGAATCATTGATTATATTTACAAATATTTCCGCTTTGGAACATAATTTCTTTCCAGTCAAAGGAGAATCACAAGCGATCACCTCAAAGCATTTTCATCCCTCATCATTGAAATAAATTTACCGAAAGGTAATACTGTTCATTTCTTTTTTTGCTAACGAATTATCACTTGCTGTCTATTTTAGTTGTATTTATTTTAGAATAAGGAAATGATGCTAAAGGGATGAATTTTTTTTAGTTGAAATCAAAGTGGATCAGCATAAAGCAATAAAGAAATTTAGCAACACCAACGACGCGTATGACCTAAGAACTACTGATAAATGTATAGCACAGTCGTGGTCCAAATTCTGTTAAAGATACCAGAGCCACGCAATGACCAGTCATCGACAATTGACAATAAATATTGAACCTGACCTCTTAAAGCTATAAGAGAAGTTACCAAAGAACTCAAAGTCACTCTACGATAGTTTCGTATTTGAAGAAAATTAGGAAAGTGAAAAACTTAATAAATGGGTATCTCATGAGTTAACTAATCAAGAAAAAAATCACCGTTTTGATTTTTTTCTTATTCCACACAATAACCACCCTTTGTTCTACAGGTTGTGACATACGATGAAAAGTTAGTTGTGCAACCTACGGCAATCTGAATGATTAATCGTAAAGAGAAAAAACTCTAAAGCATTTCTCTTGAACTTGCACCAAAAAAAATATCGTAGTTTTTGCCCGCCGTCTGCTGCTACAACATTTATTAAATTCGTGCGAAATGCATCGAAAATTTCAACCCTATTGCAACGATTTCAACCAATACTAGTCAACGGAAAGGAGTTAATTTTTCTGATACTGAAACGTCCTCATTGGAAAACCAAAACAGAAATGAATAAAACAGCTAACTTGAAAAATAAAATAATTTTTCTGACTGTTTTCCATCATTTGTGATGCACTCATTTTTGTTTGGATTTCTCCTCCAGTCAGGTCAATCATAAAGTACTTCGAGTCCATTGAAAACGGATCTAATGAATATACAACAAAACTATTGTTTTCTAAATCGTCATCCTTAGCCTGAATCAAGAATTCAAGTGGATTTTGTATATTTGAAATAGCTATGTAGCAATGGATGTCAACTTATTACTCACTAACAAAATCGACGGAAATTGTTGAGATGCCATAATTTGGAAATTTGGCAACATCGTTTCTATTAAAAATTTTGATGTTCTTTCTGAATTTTGAAATAAAAAGTTCAATGTTCTCTGTTATATTGGAAAGGTTACCTTTACGGCGGTGACAAAAGCAAGTGAAGAGGCATTAGTGGACAATGCTGCAAAATATCCATTATATTCGTCATTACTGTAAATGAATTCGGGTGCATAGTCATTTGCATCGAGAACAGCTACGTGCACAATTGCATGGTCCACTTGCTGTTCCATTTTTACGCTTATGTTTAATTGATAATAGTCCACTGTTTCTCGGTCCAATAGCGCTTGGGTTCGAAGCTCGCAGTTACCTTCAGAACCGGTTGAAATGCTAAAGACTCCTAAAATTTACTAACTTTATAATTTCTATGCCATGAAGTATATAGAATTTTTCGTACGTAACTTCTAATTATAATCAGTTCCTAATCTCCTCCAAAATAATGACAACTTTATCTTACCTCCGTAATTGCCGGAAATGATTGAACAAGTTATGAAACGTTCGTTTGTTGGTTTGTTAAGCACTGGTAAAACAAGTAATAAATGTGACAAACGGACTGATTCCGATAGAGAAGTGCTGAAATGGATTTTAGAAACTAAACTGATCTTCAAATCTGACGGAAGTGAATAAGATTCCCTTCACAAATATGCAATTTGTTCACTTCAATCTCATTCATAAATCTATAGTAAACTCACGAGTAATTCCTTTGTAAGAATTGTAGCTTATTGCTAGAAGATATTGCATCAAACGTTGATGGCTTTCCCGTCAAAATGGCAATTTCTTCAGGTTCAACATCAATTAAAGCAAGCGTTTCGCTAGACTGTTTTGGTGTGCCGCCATCTTCTGCTTCTATATTTAACTGAAATTGTAACTTCCGAAAATTAAAAATCATAAGAATAACCTTTTGGAATCTAATCACGGATTACAAATTTGTAAATTAAGTGTGATAAGTTACCAAAATTTTTTTATTTGGAAATAAACGAAGATCTTTCTTGATAGTTAGTAAACCACTTCTAGGATCTATATTTACGTATGATTCATTAGTACTGCTTTCTGTGATCCGATAACGAACTTCATTATTCGGCCTCTAAAACAATACAGTTTTATGAACGTTGCTATTTGCTTTATTTCGAATTTTTCTTTAAATTTGAGTATACATTATTTTTGCACTTATAACCATCTACTGAAAATTAAAACAAAATCTAAAACGAAGTACTCTCAGATTTTTTTGCAGTCCATTAGTAAAAAAAACTAATGCAGAAATAAATCTATAACGATTTACCAAATTGCAATAAAAATAATTTTTCTGAAAAACTTGCGGTTCTATCTTGATCGTATGCCACAATTTCGCCAATAGCCGTGCCGAGTTTGGCATCTGCACTCACTTTAAACTGATAGCTATCAAGTTCAAAGTTTGGTATCCAATCATTGACATCTACAACATTTACAATAACCAGGGCAGTGTACGGAAAATTCGGCTCCGTGGACAAAACAGCCGCCTGAAATATGCTTTTTCAGGATTATGCAAAATATTTTCAGGATCAATCAAACCTGAATGCGAAATTTACAGTTCTGCTTATGGAAATAAAAGCAAACCTCAGCAGTACCAACCCGAATTTCATACGACGTTTCTTTCTCCATATCTAACGGGCGGAGTAAATGGAGCGACCCGGTAAAACTGTTTACACTGCAATGGACCTATCGATCACTCAAATTTTTTATTTCACTAAAATTTTTCATTGTAAAAAACTCGTATAATCTTGTTTGACGATTGCTAAAAGCCATTTGTAAATAATCAGACAATAATTGCTTCTTTGTTTCAATTGCACAAGAAGAATGATGACTCATCAAGATTTTAAAATAAGTAGGAAATATGTAAGTTAGCGTTGAAACTGATCTCAAGTTTTGACTTGAAATTCATGCATTTATGTTGTGCTGCGACGAACTATATGAATCATAGAACTGTGGAATTTCTAGATTTAGAAAAAATTTGAATCAAATTTCCATCCTTAAAGTTGAACATACAATGAATTGAAGAATTATCGTTTTATTTTATATAAGAATCATAAAGAACAAACGCTTACTTGAAAAGCGATGGATCTCCTGAGAGCATAACATATGTGATGCTTTCAGGTTTATTATCCATATAATAAGCATGAAGCTTGACGAGTTCAATGTTTGCTTGATTTTCTTTCACAGTAACCGTAATCTCAGACGGATCAAACATGGGCGCAAATCGCAGCGTTGGATTTTCTGTTCCTGTTTGCATGAATGCTGCAATAACAATTTCTGATGTCGTGTTTGTTAATAAATCTATAATTCCGATTCTCTGGTTCTAATGGTAAAATTTGTGCAAAGTTCTATAGCTTAAATCTTGAGTTGTTCTTTTCAAACTACATTTTATGTGCTTTAATAAATCCTTGTTGTACTTGGTACTGCAGAATTGAATGTGAATTACACATTTTGCAAAGAATTGATACTACCTGGTGTTAAATTCAAGCGCTCCAGACTACTCGATTCTGTTGATAACTGCATCTGGAAAACTTCTCATTGTATTTTTAATAGACTTCAAAAGTTTAAATAACTTTGTGCAGCCAAACATTTCTACTTGCACATGTAAAGTTTTTTTGCAATTAAATCAAAAAGATTTTACATATTTAAATTTGCAAAATAAAAGAATATATAAAAATTTTTATTGACAGAAATATGTTAGCTATTACCGAAAATAGTCAAGGCTGCAATTTGTTTGAATAAAATAGAAGAATAAAATCACAAAGTCTTGGTCATGACTTATTATTCTTTTGCCGTTGAATATATTGTAACTGCTGATAGCTGGATATTTAATAGCAAATAATAAAACTAACAGAATTTGACGATGCACTCTGCAGAGAATTTTCAATATTAATGATTAGATTGACTTGAGTTTCAAGAGGTGGATCACCGTGATCAGTGGCAATAACTGTCATTCGATGTTCGCCAAAATGTCCATTCAACAGATCACCATTTACAGTTACAGCACCATTGTTATTTATTGAAAATAATCTGAAATATAAAACAAGTTTAATCATTTGATTGGATTCTCATGCTTCGGTCCAACTATTAACAAAACAATGATTGACTAACAGTCTTGTTAAAAATTGCATAATGAAACGGAATTAAACTTGAGTTCTCTTATGAATATTAGTTAAATTTTTGCAAAACGTAGAAGATTCTACAGATTCCTAGCCATAAATACCACTGTCTAAATACATACTTATCCATAGGAGGTGCAATCCTGAGTGCCATACGTCCGTTATCGCCATCATCCGGATCTTTTACGTTCACTTGTCCCACATACATATTTGTCGAAAGATTAAGTACATCACTGATTTTAACACGCAATCTTACTGGTTGCGGATCAATGAATATTGGAGCATTATCATTGATATCCTTAACAGGACATTTCACAAAACTAGACATATATTAGAAAATTTTCTTTTTTAAGCCACAACTCATTTGCCTTAAGCACTTTAAGTTTTAAAAAAGTCTCCTTTTAAAAAAAAAGTCTCTAAGTTTAAAAAGTATATAAATTTATAATGAACATACCGCTATAGCAACCTGGACAATGGTCCAGTACAAGTGTCGATCTGAATTTAAAGAGCGTGTTTCGATTTGCAAATTGTAAAGTGACGTCTCTTCTCTATCAAACGAGTCCACTGTAATTAAGGTCCCACTGCAATAAAATAAGTTCAAATTCCATTATTTTATAGAGAAGAAATTATTGGTTTATATTGATACAAAGATGACAATAAATGAAGTTTCATAAGATATTTCATTCTTCCAGTCCACTTTTTTTTTTTACTATTATATAAAACTACATTTCGCTGCTAATCGCAAATTTGTTATCCTCGTTTCCACCGGTAATCGTATAATACATCTGTCCCTTTGTCGAATCATCCTGTAACAGCATTCAAAGATATTCTTCTAAATATTTCAAAAGCAAAATATTTTGCAGCAACGAAAATTCTCTGAAATAATTTTTCTCCGAAACTTACTCCAAGTGTAATAATAATGGAGTACGGTGGAGTTGCCTCGCTTATTTCTGTAACGTAAGTTTGGATCGTTTCAGACGAATCAACACTTTCTAGAAAAATCTGTTTCAAATACATCATTTCTCAGATTTTCAGAGCTGATTTTCTCTCTCTCTTTCTTGCTCTTGAAACAATAGAATTTGTGAAATCTGAACATGCCAATTCATTTGTCATTAATAATTTGTTTTAAGTATCGATTTGCCACCTTTGTGAGAGTTTTTCAAGTTGCCTCATATACTATTGACCGATGTCTAGTATTTCACTACTTTACACTAACGGTAATGGCATGATTTCAGTCATATTGGAGAGTTATTCTATCTAAAAAATAATCTCCGTAAAGGATGCGACTATCTCACGACCTTACAATAAAACGAAGCTTTTGAAAGGTTTATTTTAACATAACAGTCACTGTTCCATTGCCTAATTATGTTTGGCAATTACCAGATGTAGTAGCAATCGGAGGCTTGACAACTAAAAAGTTGGGTAAACCGGCTATTTGATTCCGTCCGATTGATGCCTTTTTTTGATTAAGTGCTGTTAATTCTTGAAAATTGTCAGGCATAGCATAGACAATTATTAATGCTTGACTTGAAAGACCGCCACTATCAAATGCTTTCAGCACAACCTGGAAATGATAGATTTAATTTTTGAATAAACGGACAAGGAACCAAAGAATGGACGATGAAAGATTGGCTGTAATTCGTTTGAAGGCGTTGCATTCCTTCGTTATGAAGATATTTTTTTACTACATCGAAGTAGCAATTAAAGTATTAATTAAGGTCCCAGTGTAGCTTAAACTGGCTCTGTGACCATTTAGCAAGCAAAAGCTGTTGCATTTAATTGTTATCGATAAGCTATTGACTAAAAATTCACTTAAACGTGTGGAAAATTTGTTTATAATTTATTTAAATTGTAATTTTATTTATTCTAACTTCATATCGTTCACCAGCTTTCAAATTTCCAACAGCGTTTAATTGATGTGCTTTACTGTCGTACCAGAAATTATTGTACGCTCCACCACTTACTGATGCCAAATGGTAACTTATTTTCGCATTCTTACCAGCATCATTATCCGTCGCATAAATCTAAATTAGACACAAATATTTTAACCTAATGGTCCTCTTTTCAAAAGTTAAAATGTTTAAGAAGAAAACCTGTATGACAGGACGATCACTACCACGGGCACTGACACTGGCCACATAAACAGAGGAACTGAAGCGTGGCGGATTATCGTTGATATCCATAATGTGTATTATTATTGATATTGGTTCGCTACTACGAATTGGCGTCGTATTTACTTCTCGAGCTTCTATCTTTAAGTATTTCGTCAGTTCAGCTAATATCCTGTCATAAATTATTCCGAAAGTTTCACTATTTAAAAACTTTTTTCTCGAATAAGGAAGATTTCTTAAATCAAGAAAGTTGCTCACATGAAGTTGGTACTTTGATGGATTTGGAGGATCAGCGTTTATATATGGCACATTTAAATAGACATAACCTCTTTGGTCAACAGCAAATATAGATGAGCCTAGTCCCGTTAATATATATTCATAAACGGCTGGAGGCATGCCAGTCTTCTATAAGTATCATGGAATATTTTCTTCTTTAAAAAAATGAAATAAAATGGAAGAAAAATCCAATTATCTGCAAAAATATAAACAGTTTTTATTTAAACTGAAGTTTTTAGACGTAAAAATTCAATTAAAGATTCAATATAAGTAGCTGTTGAAATATTACTACCAGATCATTATCGTAAACACTGATTTGAAGTGAATCTGAAAATGCAGAAGGAGAAACCCGAACTGTGGTACCCATTTCTGCTGATTCCGCAATATAACCTTCATATGATGAGGCCTACAATTAAATTTTTTGCAAAACCGGTACTTGAATGTTTGTATTTCAGTTAAGAATTATGAAAGCAATAACTTTCACACAATGATTTCTAACAGTTAATTAAAACTATATTATGGTGATTAAAAGGAGTAAAATTTAAAAACGTCTCTTCTCTTCAGGAAATTTCTTATGGTAGTAGTGAACGACAAGGATTTCGAAAAAACGCTGACCTTCAACATCGGCGGATGTAGAGAAGGAATTTTGACATTGTCTTGAATCGTCTGTAGCGCATGTCGTGTCATCATTTGTGAAACTGCGCCGACAAATAGTGAACAAATTTGTAAGAACATGACATCGAAGCGGTACACCATTTTTGATTAATGCAAATTTTCCTCTTTCAGACAAAAAAATAGAAGAATTCGGGAATTTTTCGGAATACAGGAAACGTGAATCTTCAGCGCATAGAATCAGAAGATAATCTCGATGTACTGGAAGATGTAGGGGTATACGGCGCAAAAATCAGTACTGATACCTTATAACCATCTGGAATGATTTATGACAACAATGATGGCTGATAAGAAAAAAGATAAAAGATGAAAACAAGTATTTAAAAAAACCACAATTAAATTCCCCATATCAATTAATTATAGTTCAATTAGCGATGATGAATGAGGAATATGATCAGACACTCCCGTTCTTTTTCTAACTTGGAGCACTGTAATCTTTAAGAAATGATAGCAGAAGCACGAAATTGAATTGAAGAACTAAGAAATAAGTTAAGTTGGATCGGGGAAGAGTAAATGTTAATGGATCTCGAATTAAAGTCTGCATAGCAGTCCAGTGAATGTAGATTTTTTTAGTATTTAAGTTTATTTGGTTTGCTTAAATTGAGGAATTCTTGCTAAGCAAGGTATTCCTACGCTTCTTACCCTGACAAGCTTTTTGCATCCAACTGAATACAAAGTACTATGTCTTCTTAAAGAAAATCTATTCAAATTGATTCAAAAGCTTACAAAATAGAGAAGCAAATCTCATCATATATTTGCTCAACAAAGCTGACAACTACATCAGTGAAACTGCAAACGGTAAACTTTCGTTTTCTCACGAAATGATGATGAGAAACACAAAAATCGGTAAATATTGTCAACTGTTGAAAAAAAAAATTTGATATTTCCGGGACAGTAATTTTTCTTAATATATGAGTTAATATTTGTATAGGGAAAGCAGCGAGCAAAGATAAATAGCAATGATTGAAGTGTTGCGGATCATCGGTCACTTCTTTCAAGGGGTACAGTCATAGCTGAACTCAACAAATAAGGCAAGCAGGACATGACCAATAAAACCCACCTACCAACATGTTTATGCAAATAAATATATTTTTGGAGAAACATTCTCGTACTGATCTGAGCAATGGCATACAAAAGTCTCTTATGAAACTTATTTTTTCCATTAATATCTCAGAATTTTCCATTGGAAAATTGATAAATTTTGCAGCACCCAATGAAATATTTCATTAAAGAGATAATTATTTATTAAAATAAGTTAGCATAACAAATTACCGATTTTTTTTTTTGTTAGGTTTATTATAATAAGGCAAACTTGACTGTCTCGTAGAAAAAAAACATTACTTGGTCATACAATAAAATGTTTCTAATAACAAGTCAAATAATATTCTGATAGTATCGATGAGTGTGTGTATTTTACTGAAATGATAACTGAAACTCACACATTACAACATTCATGAATAGTCATTTCAAGGGTCATTTCAAGAATCATGGTAAAATAAATAAAAAAACTGAAAGTGAATTGCACTGCAACAAAGATTTCATTTTTTTAAATGCTACGTAAAAAATGACGCTTCACTGAATTACAGAATTGTGAAAGGCAGAACAAATTGAAAAATGTTGAAATGTAGCAAAAAATAACCTTTATTGCGATAAAGGAAAAAGCAAAGCAAAGGAATTGTAAACCAATGAAGCGATTCAGAGTTCCTTAATTTTTTTATGAAGTCTGCAGTAACTAAAATTTCACATAATTTATTTCATCTCACCTGACTTATGTAATCTGCATTTTCCGTCCCAAAGTCGAAATAAATTACTCACCATTAAAATTTAAATTTAAATTTTATTCTGGTAGTAAAAATCGAACTTTTAATCATTACCAATTTTAAAAATTGTGAAATTACGTGGTTATAGGGTGCGAAGTGTAAACTGAAGAGTAAGACAAATAAATATATTATTATTAGATTCCATATTAAATTTAACCTGCTCTGGCTTGAAGCTATAAAACTTCGCTTGGTAGTGGACACTGGAAAGCAGTAGCATCTTAGTCTCTTTTCTGATCTAAGAGAGAATGATTGCAACTTTTTCAAAAGGTAGAAATAAATTTTTTGCATCCTTTTATGCATAATCGATTGATCTCACTTCTTGCAAATAATTACAAATCATTAATCAATAAGGAACATTTGAAATAATTGGAAAACCGTATTTGTCAGTATTTAGGGAAACAAATATAGTAAGTAAATGATAACTACAAAACTCATCTTTAAACTTCGATTATAAAAGATTCGTAATGATAACTATCTTCTTAGAACGTCGTAAAAATATTCTTTATGAATGAATATTCCATCACATAAGTATCGAGTACTTCAGTGGATATCTAGTCACGCTATCTACAAATCGGTGGCTTCGCATATTACTATTAGCATCTGCTGAGCAATTTTCGATGGCACCTTACCTAGTACCATCGAAAATTCAAAAAATATAAATGTTCTTTTCTGTTAGAAGGATGAGACGCTGTATGTTACAGACGTGATCAATGAAATGCTTTTCGGTAACGTTATTTTGCTTTTTAAATCAGTTTACCGATAATCAACTCACTGTGATATCCTGAAATCTTGAAACTGAAGAACTCAAGAATGATTGTATTAATATTACTCCACAATGAATGTTTGAGAATCCACAGTTTACTCAACTGCTAAACACATCAGTCGACACTTTCTGCTATCCTTATGCCTGCGCAGACCTAAATCAATGCAATATAAAGGAACCATTTAAAACAATTTCACATTTAAGGTAGCCTGAAGTTCTCTACAAGTTTTATATTTCTTAGTCAAGTTCATTCAAAAATTGACCATTTCAGAAAGTCACTCATTGATCCATGGCCTTTTTATGTTGCACTATAAATGTTTATAAAATTTTGCAAATACTGAGATAAAAGGTAGGAAAGAATGATATTAGTAAAAATTTCTTGAAATGAAATATGTAAAAAAAAAAGGAAGTTAAAATATAAGCTACGAAGTTGAAAGAAAAGATAGTTAGATGGATCAGAAAGTACACAAATGTTGAGAACCTAGTGGGGCACAAGTGCTCAGGTATATTTGAACAGTTCAATCCACACGCCTACAAATGGTAGTGCTTTTGCACTACTGGACACTGCATCAAAAACAAACAGAGCATATCTCCAGTTCAGGACCCAACAGCATTGCTGACCGGCTTCTCTAATTTACCATCGTCAATTCACATATTGATCATTGCATTCCTGCCATCGCAAAATTCGATTACATAGCATCCATATTAATTTACAAAGCTTTTTCAAAGAATCTTTGGCTATCTTTGAAAACATTATACTTGCCTTTTGAAGTTAGTTGAAATCATATGTCGACACCGATAGCTTCGACATTAATTTTGAAATGTTATTGATTAAAAGACGTAACTGAATAAGCCCGTCCTTTCGTCACTTGCTCCCCAACTTTGCAAGCGCTAAACAACATTAATTGTAGCATCTCGCCACTAAATCTCAGTTTTAACTGTACATAAATTCTTGTTGATAGTAATCCATTTCGCATATTACCAGCGATAATCTACAAACTTAGAGACAGTACATTCAGGAAACTTCGAAATCAAAGAAAAGAATGATTTGTACACACCTAGTGAACTTCGTATTATCATTCCATTAATGGTAATAGCTGCTATTACCATTCATGGATCGATAACACGAAGTTCTTATAAAGTTCTTAGAGATAAAGTCATATGTTATCATTTTGTTATCTTCAATAGACAATAGACATCACTTTAAAAATGTTACTTTGAAAGATTAAGTTGAAGTTTTATTGGAATTGAATAATATCTTACCTCATCGGACGAAAATTCAACAGGAATCAAACTAAACTTCATTTAACTATTAGTTATCGCATTGCGTGCATTATTGAATTCAAGTGACTTGATAATAACAATGGACCAACATAGATCACTGAATCATTTTCTCTATTCTTAAATGTTAGACAAACTTTTGTCATGTTCTCCTATTAACAGTACTTAGTAGAAATAAATTTGTGATTTTAAGGCTTTCTTTTAAGAAATTCTAAGACTTTCACCGATAGTATAAATAGTTTTGATATAATCGTAAAATTTCCAACAGATTCTGGATAAATTCACCACCACATTTTCATTTGATTTCCGACATCTTTATCCGGCATTACAAAACGAAAATTGCTGGTCACCTTGACCTATTCATGTTAGTGAATACATTAAGAGAAAACGAACATTTTCATAGAATGAACAGACTAAAAGGAACAGAACATATACGATGAAAGTGATATATATATTTCTACTAAGGACTGAAAGGTCTAGCCGTAAGCTTTTAAATTATCTACTGAAAAAGATGACTTATTGATTGATGGCTTTCTCAAAAGTCAGTTATATGATCAATGAAAGGTAACTATCTTTCATTGATCATATAATTCAAAATAAGTGCGAGCGAATTAACGCCAAAATAGAATTATAGTAATGTGAGGGTGAAAAGAAAATCAAATATTTAAGTTCTTAAAACACCGCAAATGACAAAAATAAGTTCATTAACGCCTCTTTCAATTTTTTGTGGATACTTACTTACCTATTAATTCATTCTTTAAATATTTTAATATTGCTCTATTCCAAATATTTCAAATTCGATTGTGTATGTCTTTTAAGCACTTTTAAGCACTCATGGAAAGTCGTGTCTACGTGAAGATAATTTCCTGGATAGAAATAATGAACAGTAAGCATTTATTCAGACTGTTTTTATTGTATGTCTGGAGATTTTTCCTCCCTTTCTTTTTGATGTAAAGAGATACTTCGATTTTGAAGAAGAATCCTTCCTGGAAGTTAGTCCTTCATTTTTTTACTCTTTTATTTACTCTTTAATCCATGTTTTACCATTATTAAGAAGAGAAAAACAACTGACGTGTGGTTTTGGTATCACAACAGGAAAATTTAAATACATTGTCTTTAGCCAACTTAGCCAGGCTTGCATTTCACATCTTTGA